GCAAAGAGGTGCACTTGTGCTATTTGTTATAATGACGTCGATAAGTGTGCAGGATTGGGCATGAAATCGAGTGGGGTGTTTATAACATTTTTAAATGCGTTTGATTCCATGATATTGCAAAGTTCAAGACGTTGGGGGCTGGAAGTTAGCATATCAATGTTTAGGTCACCCCCGATAGTAAGATTGTAACCATTTTCATGACCCACGACAGGAAAGTGTCTAGAAACGTAAAAAAGTTGCACATGTTACATTTGGGGGGGCGGTATACCACAGAAAAAATACCCGAAGAACATTTTACAGTCATAATCTCGTAATCGTCAGTAACCACAGAAAAAAGCCTCGAGTATTTCACACTCAAACACATCTTTGACCAGGAGCATAACACCACCACCTAATTTATCACTGCGGTTCAAGAAATACGTGGCATAGCTAGGTATACGAAGAACGTCGGATTCATGGCGATACCAGGTTTCAGTAACCATGATGACGTCAAAGGAGAACTCAAACGATTCAAGCAGTATTGCTATCTCATCTGCCTTGTTTCTGGCTGATTGCGCATTTATATGAAGGTAGGAAATGTGGTGTTTTCTACCAGATACCAATAGGCTCAACTGGTGTGGCGTTAAGCAGTCTGCAGCCATTTTCTTTTTGCCCTGTTTTTCTTCTAGCTTTTTTTTTTTTTTTTTTGCTAAAGGATGAAGCTCAACAAATTTAAACAATCTTTTCGAGATCGCTCTCAGTAGTTATCTGAAACACCCTCGACTTCTCATCCTTTCGCGCAAAAATTTTGCCGCCTTTCGTCCAGGCAAATCGCCATTCGGCTTCCTTCTTGCGCGCTACAGTTTGTCCCAGTAGTTTTTTTAACTGTGGGCATAGGTGTTCATTGACGTAGACAAATGTCTTTCCTGGGAAACCAATATCAGCTGTCGTTAAGCGCAACTTTTTCGCCTTTTCCAGAACTGCGTCTCGCTTAGACCGGTTGTTGAACTGCACAACAATATGAGGGCAAGATGCATCCTTAGCAGTCACGCGATGGCAAATTTCTATGTCATCTTCTTTCACTGATTCGCCGACAGCTTCACCAATCTTCTGAACGACCCTGGTCAACCGTTCACCCTCCACGAAGGAACATTTTTCACTTCAATATTTCGGTTTCGCGAGTACTGTTCTAGGGCGGTAGTCCTACATTCATTGTTGAGAACGACCTGCTTCAGCTGACTGCAATCAGTCTTCAGAACATCATTTTGAGCCTTTAGCTCACCGTTTTCTTTTTCAAGCCGCGAGCACAGAGCCGAAATTTCTTCAAACTGCTTATTAAAAAAGTCTAGACTTGTTTTCACATCACGTATTTCCTTACGCAGCTCTCTCTCCAGGGCAGTCCGCATTTCGCGAAACTCTTGTTTCAACTCTTTAAAATGTTTTTCCATTTCGGCTGGCGACATCAAAAAACACTATGGCAGCAGCAGCAGCAGCAGCAGCAGCAGAAAGCAACAGAACACTAAGGAAAGAAACAACGATAGTACTGACCTGTAAAAACAATATGCAATGGTTCAGTAGGCTGTGCGCAGATCCGCTGCTGCTGCCAAAGTGTGGTTCAGTACACCCGGAGATGCTCCGAGCTGAACAGCTATCCAGGTGGCGCTCACAGCGGGGCACAACAAAAACACGACCACGATGATCACAGCCGTGCCCTGATATGATACGGGGCGATGCGTCGAGGCTATTTGAAAGGTCAGCAGTCACTCCCACGATGACCACCGTATTTCCCTTGACACGGGGCAGTGCACCGACGACATGCGCTGCGCGTTGAAAAAAGCACACGCAGCGATGAAAAGCGATGTCAACCTCCAAAGCAGCTGGGACGTTCCGTCAAGAACCCACAGCAACAGCAGTGAAGAACTTTAGTACCTGTAAAAACAATATGCAATGGTTCAGTAGGCTGTGCGCAGATCCGCTGCTGCTGCCAAAGTGTGGTTCAGTACACCCGGAGATGCTCCGAGCTGAACAGCTATCCAGGTGGCGCTCACAGCGGGGCACAACAAAAACACGACCACGATGATCACAGCCGTGCCCTGATATGATACGGGGCGATGCGTCGAGGCTATTTGAAAGGTCAGCAGTCACTCCCACGATGACCACCGTATTTCCCTTGACACGGGGCAGTGCACCGACGACATGCGCTGTAAAAACAATATGCAATGGTTCAGTAGGCTGTGCGCAGATCCGCTGCTGCTGCCAAAGTGTGGTTCAGTCGGCAGCTTCCTCGACGGGCGAGAAGCGCCAATCGAAATCGACGGGTTATCACCAAAGACGGTCGAGAATGGAGGTGCCGGGATGCCGCAAGTCTCCGTGCTGTTCAACCTCTTTGTGATCGGCCTTCCGGGGCGGCTCAATGTGATCAAAGGCGTCAACCATACAGTACGCGGATGACATTACGATATGGACCACATAGAGCATGAGTTCTGGGAGTATGCAAGATAGGCTGCAGTGAGTGGTAAGGGAAGTTTAGAAGCACCTCGAAGGCACGGGGCTTGTCTGCGCTCCAAACAAGTCGGATATCCTGCTCCACAGACCTCGAAAACCGGGACGTCCCCCGAGAGACGTGGCTGAGGCCCGTCAGACGGGCGTGTGTGTCACAATAAAAGAAGGAGTCCGCGTACCCGTGGTGTAAAAGATACGAGTCCTCGGCCTCTGGCTGGAAGAAAGCAGTGTCGATTCCGAGCTGGTCATCCGCCTGCAGTAGAAAGTGGCAGCCGCCATGAACCTGATATGAAGAATCACGAACAAGATGAATGAAAGAGCGCAACGCAATGAGACAAATACAGGCGTATGCTTTAAGCCACACCACGTACGTTGGTGCTTACTTCAACAGGAGAAGTAAAAGCAACAAGCTGGACACGATCATTCGCAGGGCTTACAGAACTGCATTAGGCGTACCTCACTAGACGGCCAAGTGCAGGCTTTTTGAGCTGGGCGGTCACAACACGCTCGCCGAAATCATCGAGGTTCAGAGGATCGCGCAGCTCGAAAGACTGTCGGGAGCCAAGACCGGAAGAACCATCCTCGACTCCCTCGAGATTCGTTACCACGGGATGCGGGGACTGAAGGACACGCCATTGCGAGCGGTCAAGAATGCTTTACTCACAGAGAATATGCCCAGAAACATGCACCCAGTGCACGATGCCGAAAGGCGCAGATGCAGAGGGGAGGCGATCCTCAAAGAGCATGGCAGCCGAGAGGGTGTCCTTTTTGTCGACGCTGCTAGATACCCCCGGCCTGACCGAGGACAACAGCTGAACGAACAAGAGCAACAACTCGCCAATCGACACCTGCGTTCTCCATGGCGGTGGTCAACACGAGGGAACAAACTCTGGTGACAGGATCTGCGAGGCTCCCATCGTCTAAGGTGGCAGAAAAAAATGGTCATAGCCTTCGCAATAATTCACAGTGGATACGAGAACACACTTATCGCGAGCGATGCCAAGACGGTGGTCCGAAACTTTACGAAGGAAAGGGTCTCTGTCGAGGCGGCGCACATGCTAAATGCCAGAGCCGAAGCTTTAACGTCTGGCTCGATTGCTGCGAAAAACGCGACGGCGTTACCCACCACCCCACATGCAGCTAGAGGTCTCAGGCGTCTGATCTGAGGCGTCTGTACACCGACACTTTTGAGAATCCCCGACATCTGCATAGACTGTGTCCCTCGCTCACCCGTCATCCGACTACCCGTGGTGCGGGCACGAGACAGCCGACATGGCGCATATACTTTGGGAGTGCGACTGTGGTGTTCGCCGCCACTACTCGGACGATCGAGCGTGAGTGTACCCCAAGACGACTGGCCGAGCGGTGGCGAGCCGCCCTTGGCCCACGTGCTGTGGATGAAATCTGGGCTGTCCAGCGAGCCCGGGCTATCGCCGAGGACATCGCGCGATGCTCCGTGGACAACATCTCCTGGAGGCGTAGACCGGGCCAGTAATTCTTCGTTGGATCCTTAATAAAGTTCATTACCTACCTATTGTTTTTACGCTTTATCTAGGCAATGCCGGTTGGTTCTAGGTTGCTTCCAACATTGTTGGCTTCCAGGTCGTTGCTAAGCTTTCGCTAGGTGATGGTAGGTTGTGTCTATGTGTTAACTCAGCGCAGAGAGGTTCGGGTTAAACCAGAGAGAGTTACAAGCACGACACGGGACATCGTCATTGGCGTAGGCCTTCCATCACTTCGGCGTCTTCTCGTAACCTCCGTGGCCTTATTCTCCCGCCATGTACTCGGGGTCTTCGGCTCGCCGCCGTCGCTTGGTATCCATTTGTTGGTCTAAGTGTTGCCTTCTTCATTTAGTGCAAGTTGTTTTTAGTGGGAATGGCTCCACTAGATGTGGCACACATTCATTTATGATGACGATAGTTTTCAGATAAACTGCACAAATCTTTGTGGCCTATACCTGTTTATTATTATGATAGTTATTTTTTGTACGGGGTGAACACATGAACTTCGTTATACTATCATATAATAGTGCCGTGAAGCCAGCTTGCACGCGGCAATTTGTGTTGCAACACGCAATCAAGAATATTATTAAAAACTGTATATGTCCCACCTCGGTGGTCTAGTGGCTAAGGTACTCGGCTCCTGACCCGCAGGTCGCGGGATCAAATCCCGGTTGCGGCAACTGCATTTTTGATGGAGGCGAAAATGCTGCAGGCCCGTGTGCTCAGACTTGGGTGTAGGTGAAAGAACCACAGGTGGTCGGAAATTCCGGAGCCCTCCACTACGGCATCTCTCATAATCATATGGTAGTTTTGGGACGTTAAATTCCACATATCAATCAGTCATTAAAAACTGTATATTGAATTGACCGCGATATCAAACTTATGTTTTTCCTTTTTATTTAGGTATATGTAAGCTCAACTGCATAATTGCTAAAATGTATCCCTGTATCTTCACTCATTCATTTAGGTCACTTGAATGCCAGAGAAATCAATAACCGGCGCCGTGCACGCACATACCTGTAGCGTGTTGCAAACGATGAACAGGTAGGTGAAAGCTGTCCTGGCGGCTTCAGAGCTGCGCACGAAAGCCGCGACGAAGCCGAAAACCCACGTCAGGACCCATTCCGGTTGCCATGCGCACGTACGTGGCAGCCGTCGCCGGACCCTTGTCGCTGTGGCGGCGCAGGATGGGGCCCGGCTTCTGCCTGAACCAACGCACGACAAGTTCAGCAGAGCTCGCTGTTTCGAGTTAGTCAACATCCGCTGTACACGCAGAGTGAGTGAAAAGAGGGAAAGACAAAACTATTTATTCTCCTTGGTGGGGTCAAGAGAGGCGGGCGCCGGAAGACTAGCCCTACCGGAACCCCCCTTTCTCAGGCGGCGGCCAAACATAGGGCGAAAGACAACGTCGCTATGTCTCGTGTTGCACTACATGCCGCAGAGCCATGTTTACTTCAAAAACGTATGGTGGAGTTATCAGTATATGCTTGACAGGAAACATATTACAGTTTAGGGTGTGAGCTTAGGGGGGCGGGGGAAGCTACAGCTAATCCTGAGTTACGATGTCGCACGTGATCAACTTTCTTTAGTGGACCGAGTATCGCTTCAAGAGCACGATCCACACATAGGCAAATAACTTGTAATCTCACACATGCGTTGTAAGCTTCAATACTTCTGGCGATGAGGGTCGTTAAGTTAGAATTTCATGAAAGGCGGTAGTCAATGTGCAGCACGTAAACACAATTTTTGTTATTACATGATCAGGAAATGCTTACCTGGACACACTATGCACGGAGTAGACGGTCATGACATAGAAGACAAAGTTCAACAAGAGGAGCACAGCGACGGGTACGGCGAAAAAAGCAAGCGCGGACAGTTTGTTGACGATCCAACAGACGCCGAACAAACCGTACGACGGGAGAGAGAAAAGTGTCGAAGTAGTCCAGGGCGAAGCATGCGCCCACGATAGCGAGCGGTGTGCCGAAGGCGTACAGCATGTAAAACGGCAGGTGGTGGGAGACCTTGCGCGTGCCGCCCATGGAGCTGCCACTCGTCCTGAACGTCTTGTACAAGTCGTAAGCGAGCACGTTCATCCAGAAGAAGGAGTTGATGACCGTGTAGTGGCACACAATGGCCGCAGCTCTGCAGGCAGCACCCTGCACAGACTGTCGCTGACTCAGCAGAAATGTCAGCTGCATGACGAAGAGTGAACCGGTCAGGAAGATGATGTTCCATCCCGGAAGATTGCGAAGTTCGGAAAACAGTGAGTAGGTGGTTAACACCAGCACGAGACACAGCAACGAGATGGCAGTCAGCACGAGGCTTACGAGGGCCATGATTGGTCCATCGAACAGTTGGCCACGAATTCTGAGTCCCTGTCGCAGTTCGTCCAAGCAGAGGCATACCTTTCCTTCGGGCATGAGCTGGTAGTGGCGACACGTGATGGAAAGAGGGCCAGGTCCAGCGTAAAGCATGAGCGTGTCGTTCTCGAATATGTTCACCTGCGTCGTGTTGAAGTCGACGCAGGGACACGACTTCGGAAGCCCTGTCCCGCGGTCGCACACGATGACAATGCTGTTCGTAGTCACCGGAGACTTCTGGTCTCCGGTGACTCGTATGAGGACGTTGGCCACGAAGTCTCCCGGCTTGAAGGTTCGACCGGTCTTGTTCACGTATACTTTGCCGATGCCGGTGCCGTTCTCGGTTCTGGGCAGGAAGACGAACTCGTCGTTCCAGTACTCGCGCCATATGCCTCCGTCCTTTTCGCTGCACCAGTCTTCGAGGACAAGTGGCTTTGATCGTACGCTGCTCACCGCCGCCGTCATGTTCAGTTCCTTGAGTAGAATCGAGTTAAGGCTGAAACTTGCTGCCAGAGAAACGATTATGGAACTTATCGACGGCTCGAGATCGTCTTTCGTGGGTTCGTAAAGATCGAAGTGCGTTATTAACGTTGCCGGAGAACCAGTGCTGTTGGCAGGGTCTGGCACGTGGCCGTCTTCGTGCACGTAGTCTTCTTCTTCCACCACTAGCACGTCGTCTGAGTCTTCTAGGTATTGGTGCACCTTTTCGGGGTCCCACACAATGGCGACAGCCATGTTTTTTATTCTCTCTTTCGATATGTTGTAGTATTGGACGAAGCTGTCAGTGAGAGACTGCTTCAATTCATCCATGCTTACTTCGCTTGACCGATCCAGGCTGATGTTGATCACAACAGTAATGCGACTGTAGTCAGCGCTCTTATTTTCGAACAGGGGCGCATTTGCCGTATTATTTTCTGTGCTGTTGTGTGGTTTCTGTATGCACTTCGAGTTTACCAGTGTGAACTGGGTGCCGCAATAAAGCTGACGGCAAAGTTCGGCGAAAGGATCCCAGATGAACCCTTCGTTACATCTTTGTTGATTGCGCATCATCGTTTCTTTACTTTCAGAAGAGAACTTGTACTTCTCCACTCCGTCCAAACCGAAGTTAAGGACAATAGAAAAGGCTGAAGGAATGTCATCTGTGGCTTCGTAGCTCTTCTCTTTAGATCCCTGGAACAACGAGCTTGCCATTTCTTTTTGGCTGTAGGTCGCCACGCCACCAGGACAGCGAAGATCCGGTACATCGCCATTGCAGAGTGCGCAGTAGGCGTTCTTGTAGAGCTTACGCTTCCGGTTAGGCTTGTGGATTGATCTCACGGGGCCCTGAAACGCTGCGCACAGGTCTTCCAAGTTCCTTCCGTCGAACACTGTTCTTCTATCACTGCACGTACTCACGGCCTGCACGCAACTCCTGACAAAGTAGCGTGTCGAGTGGTTTCCACTTTCTGCTTCCGTATCCTCCAACAGGGCAAGTGGCACGGCGTTTGTCACTCCGTTGCACCGAGCGTGTGCGTCGTTCGCGTAGACGATGCCATCTTCACCCAAGACCTTTACCTCGTCTTCCTCATCGTCGATGTTGAGGTCTACTCCATCGGGACACGTAGACACGTAGAAGAAGGACAGGTCTTGCGGGAAGTCGGTTTCGTAGATGCACGGGGGTCGCAGTGAGTGCTGCTCGACGGCTAATGGATCCAGTGAACAGTGTTTTTGGACGTCGACGCAGCAGTCACCGTATTTTACGCAGGAGGGGTCGCAGTGGCACGTGTACTCCTCCTCATCGTCCGAGGGCTCCCCGCAACGGTTCTTGCACGAGTCGGTTAATGGACATCTCGGCGGGAAGAAACCGCTCTCGCCGGCTTCACTGACTCTAGTAACGTTCGGTTTTCGAAGCAGGAAACTGGAGTCGCCCGGATGCGCCTTAGAGGGCTCTCCGACATCCTTGCTCAGTGCGTTGGCGTAACAGACGGTAGAGGCACTCCAGGTTGGCCACGTGACCAGCACGACGAAGGTAATCAGGATTGGCGCCGAAGAAGCACCCGAGACATGCTCCTCCCCCAAGGTCTTCAGTGACCGTGGTTTTCTCCGCATCTCCTGTCTGTATTACAGTGAAAGGCGCTGTAACTTCTTCGAGCGGTGCTCAGAGGTTCCAAAAGGTTTTCCAGGTGACACATTTGCCGCAGTGATAGGCTGTCGTCACTGTCCCTGTCCACCCTTTGGGAAAAGTGCTGACGTCGTAGCCCGGGGCCTCACTGCCGGTGGATCTTCGTTAGCGATAGTCAAGTGCATGACCCTGAAATGTAGAAGAAAAACAGTGCAGAGTCATAGCTGTATAACTGCCATCTTAAAACTGCCTTTGTACCTTTCAATGTTGTCTGTAAGAATGCCCACCACATGGGCTTGTGTCACGTTGCTTACGTCGTTAAAGTCTAAGTGTGTGTTATTCCACTTTTGTTTACGTATCAACAAGTACAGGCTGCTTTTCTTCGATACAAATACAGTTATGTGACAACTATAGTTTGAAATGAGCGCCTTACGTGAAATGCTGAGCTGTTTGGCTCTGTGGACTGAGCTCTCCCTACGGCGAGTGGTGCTTCTCTGGAAGTGCATAGAAGGGGAGAACCGCAGCGCTCTTTGGCTTATCAGCTGCTGTGGCAGGTGGTCGCCGAGACCGAGGTGCGAAGGCCTTAATGCTGCCACTCGACTTACTGCAGCGGCAGTCGAGAGGAGCGAGGTATCAATTTATGCACTCTTGATAACAGAACGTGTTACGTCCTTCAGTTATGTGTCTATTGACGACTCTCCAGCTCGACAAAGCCTTTTAGCGCTCTGAGTAGGCAGCATGTGCTAGACGGAAGGGGTGTAATGGTATCATTAGGCTCTTAAGGACACGCTAACCTTGGAATGCGGGCAGGCTCCACTGACAAACCGCCCTCTCTCTTTTAATTTTTGATTGTATAGAGCAGGGTTCTCAAACTTACTAAGTCAGCGGGCCGCACTGATGCAATTTAGTCTACCGAGGGCCTGGAAAAGGGGGCGGCGGTCGTTTGTACAAATAGTCGGCTAACGTTACCATTAAGCCCGCCCCGGTGGTTTAATGACCAATACACTCGGCTGCTGAACCGCAGGTCGCGGGATCGAATCCCGGCAGCGGCGGCTGCATTTTCCATAGAGTCGAAAAGGCTCGAGGCACGTGTGTTTAGATTTGGGTGCACGTTAAAGAAACCCTGCTGGTCGACATTTCCGGAGCCCTCCACTACGGCGTCTCTCATAATCATATGGTGGTTTTGGGACGTTAAATCCTAACAATGGTTATTGTAACGTTACCATTAAGAAAAAAAAACTTTCCTCGTATCTCATGAACGGGTTATTTCCGAAAAAGATATGGTGCCAGCATTCAAACATATCGATAGTGGTCGCTATCGACATAAAGGGGTAACGTCAGTACACCGGTCGATTCGGAAACGTAGTTTTGGTTTTACAGTTATGCTTAAACACATGTCGACCACATAAGGTGTTTCACAATAACAATGCATCAGACCAGTCATGGCGATCTGTATGTGCACGATTATCAAGAGAATAAACAAAATGTGGGACGAAGACAGTCATGTGAACGAAGACAGTCACCATTTTATGAAGACTGCACGCAATACGAAAACGTGTGGGTTGAGTTGAATTCCACACAGGTCCACTGAGCAGCCACAACTTTAAATTTAACTTAAAATAAATAGTTTAGTGCGAAGACACCATGAAAATACGTTTCTAACAGTTAGCTTACTGGCAATATTCTTTGTGACCTTAGCTATATTTTGCCTTGTTCCTGTATTCTGCCTGCCTAAGCTGTTTTTCAATTCAGTTGCGATAACAATATCTGGGCATTTCACGTGCCAGATCCACAATGTCATTAGGAGTAGAGACAGGATTTTCGGGTATTAAAAAAATGCTCGTTTCAGGAGCCTAAAATAGGCTGGCTAACCAACGTTTTAGACCTCCAATCAAGTATTTACATAAATGTCAATTTCGAACGAAGACGCGCGTGATCTCTATCTGCGTCAGGAAAAAAAAAAGATTATTGTTTTGTGTGACACGAAGGCGCCAACTGTTGAACATAGCCATGCAATTATGCTTTTTACCGCACGATTCGCTGATCCATTCTGTAGAACTGTGAGTGAAGTGTACACAGTCGAATCAACGCACTCCTGGGTTGCCTCTTTTTTAAGCATGACTGGACAAGACAAAGCAGGAGCAGGTAGTCAGATCTCGGATAGACCAGGTCGATCGAGGCAGGTGCGTAGGCTGATTTTTTTTTCGGATGGGGCACTCACTTGAAATGACCATTTTTCGCTTTTAATGCCATGACGAAACAAATTCGGGAAGGGGGGCGAGGGAGGAGGGCACGGGCTTGGTTTGCCACCTCCTGGCTACTGGATTGATGGATGCCTCGTACTTACCGGGTCGAATCGCGTATAGAGCCCATTTCTTCCCTGGCTGTGAACACCCTCAACGTAAATTACAAACTATGACAAAGGCCGCGTGCACATAACACTTTTCTTCATTTTGTGGTCACTATCGTTCCCCATGACGGCTCTCCGTGGTTTCGCATTCACCAACCACTCGCCGCCGCGTCCCATATAACAGTGCTGCTAGTCGTTGTTTCCTGGAGTTGGTTAATCTAGAAGACTAGGTCAAAAAAAAAAAAAAACCACAAACTTCCGATCACTCTATGCGGCGCGGAGATATGAATAACGGTCTCAAACTGCACCCAGGAGTGAAACTTCAGGCCAAATATTATTCATACAGGCGCCAATCCTGAAAAGTATTTCAAGGCATTTGTCAGTGTTTAGGCATAAACGCCAAAATAGACATTGATAAGTGCTACGAAAACACCATAAAAACCCTTAAGACCTTTGTTCTATGCTCGTATATCAAAGTGGCGTGATAAGATCGACAAAAAACAATAATAACCGAAAACCTGGTCTCTATAATTATGAGATACGCCATGGTGCAGGGCCCCGCTACGTTTGGCCACCTGTGATTGTTTAACGTGCACCTAAATCTAAGTATACGAGTCATTTCGCCTTAATCGAAATGCGACAGCCGTGGCCGGTATCGAACCCACGACCTTCGTGTCAACATCTGAGCACTGCGGCGGCTAATTCGGGTAGTAGATAAGTTACGTATTAAGTAATTAGAAAAATGATTAAGGCGACATTTTCTCATCTACCGTTACGAGATTAAGAAAGGACGACATTTCGTGAAGAACACATACACTTGTAGCAGATACACAAACACGCAAACGCAAACATACGCGTACACAAACACATACACAAACACACTTGTAAAACACGTGGACAAACACTTGTAAAACAAATACACAATGGGCAACATTGGAATGAGGAGAAAACAAGCCCTTAAAATTGGCTGCTACAAGAGGGGGCACAATGCGCGCGTACCTTTTATGCATGAGGGAATGTAAACGCATACAAGCTAACCTGATCGAAGGTTGCTGGGACCGGGCTAAACTTGAGATATATAGTCCAGATCACGGGCCCACGTTGAAAGCAGTGTAATACCGCGCTGGAAGGTTTTGACGAGCTGCTTCGACACGATATCGTGACGTGATGTATCGACGCAGTCCGCTTTGTCCTCTGCCAGGAAGGCGCGAGAAGAATAAGAGAATACGATACGGCGACACCGCATTCCTGACAGCTGTGAGCGTTCCCAGACCTTGCTCGCTTGCGTATCGGCGTCGTCCGAAAGGGCTCGTTCGGCATGTATTGCTGAGGACCGACGTGGTGTGCTTCCACTGCAGGGAGGACACGTTTTGTTATTGTTATTGTGTATTATTTATTTTATTTTATTTATTGGATACTGTGAGCCTAATCAGGACATACAGGAGTGAACAATGAACACGTAGGTCAGTTTCGCATCAGCGTAAGAGAAATACAGTAATCACACTTCAGCACAGTGCTATGCGACAGAGTCTTATAAATTGATCACAGCGAGAAAGAACAGAGAACAACATATTTGAATAAATCAGCGTTACATACAGCAAATCGCAGTGTCATGGTGAAGCTGGAAATGTAGAAATATAGTTAGCCACTTGAAGGGTTTATACGAATAGAAACTGCTCAAATTTAGCAGTGAAAGCCTCTAAAGATTCAACATTCATGCAAGCATGTGGAAGGGCATTCCTTTTTTTTTTTCATTTTTATGTGGTAGACGGGAACATTTGTAAGTGTCGCAGCCTGTTATATGACAGAGAGAAAAAGAGGAAAAGGAAAGGCAGGGAGGTTAACCAGTGTGTACCCGGAGTTTACTACCCTACACGGGGAAGGAGCGAAAAAAAATTCGGCAGATCTCACGTACCTGGGAATCGACGTTGTGCGAAGCATGCCGAGGGAAGGTGACCGTGTTGCAATTTTTTTTTATTGAGTGACACGTCGTGAAATGACGCTAAATAAATCTACAAATGCTGCATGCGCAGACATATGTAGAAGAGTTGCAGATGTTTATATAACCAGTTGTTTACACTTGTGCAACGATTCCAACTGGAACATGAGTATTAGCAACACCAGAAGCTGATATGAAGCGCTGATGTCTCGCGAGGATACTGGACCCTGGACACTGCTACATAAATCAACTTCAGCGCATGGCAGCTAACCACAGTTGACGTTAACCCGACGTGACGGCTGTATCGAAGGAGTAACATATGTAATGTTTATGAAATTGGGCAGGCAGAACTGCAACCTATATTGACCTTTCACGAAGATTAGCGTCTATTTGAAAAGTATTTCCGAGACCTGGCGCTAGCTCTGTGTTAAAATGCTTCATTACCACGCAGAATGCTTGGGTTCGATTTCAGCTGGGACCCTGACATTTATTATTTGCATTCGTCGGGTCGATGACCGATGTCGGGAATTTCTTAACGCTCGAGCGTTAAAAGTGCCCATGTGTGTTCTCGTCGTTCCTGGGTAGATACTGTCAGTCACCTGTGGCACACACCCGCATACCAGCGGCACATACCCGCCCGTTGGTATGCGCCACTGTCTGGCGGGAAGAAGTGTTTGACGATGTACGTTACGGCAATGTGACACTATTCATGTCTTGACCAGCGCGTCATATTCGTCAAAACATTTTGCCATCCCGTGCTAATCTTGGTTCACGCCAGGTTAACGGGGAAAGGGGGGGGGGCACGAGAGCACTCAAATGTAAGCGGCTCGATAGACAGACAGACAAACAGACAAACAGACAGACAGACAGACAGACAGACAGACAGACAGACAGACAGACAGACAGACAGACAGACAGACAGACAGACAGACAGACAGACAGACAGACAGACAGACAGATAGATAGATAGATAGATAGATAGATAGATAGATAGATAGATAGATAGATAGATAGAATAGATAGTCGATGATAGATTCAAAGTCGCCGAAGTTACGCTAAGAAATGTTCGCATCTTAAAGGATAGAAAGAAAAATGGACAGATAAGAAGAAGAGAGCATTCCTACGCGTCCACGTGCTTAACCACGCACGCACAAGAGCTTCGCAACCGAGAAATACTTGAGATCGTTCCTCCGTGTCACAAAGGTGGAATTCGATTCAAAGGTTGTGGGGCGTTTACTTTGTTTTTAGGGTTTATCTTAGTTTAAAGAGACACGCTCACAGTGTATCGTATGTACTCGCCAGGGGCATAGCCAGAATTTTTTTCGAAGAGGGGGAGGGGTGTTCAACCATTCAAACACATTATGAGTACTTTAGTGCGTGCGTTTGTGTGAGTACGTGTATCTAGCAAGCAAAATCAAATATTTCGAAAAGGGAGGGTTGAGCGCGCACCAAGGGGAGAAGGGGTGTGTGCCTTCCTCCCCCCTTGCCTACGCCTCTGGCATTCAGAAGGGTGTCTTCTGTCACCGTAGACTGTCTGCGATGCTGTCTACAATTGGAACAGAGCTTCCATCCGTTGAAAAGGTTTACATCCGTTGAAGAGGTTTATGATTTCGAGTACTTCGTACTCAACTATGGGAGAGCGCTAAGCCGTCCCGCTAAAAACGATCTGTGTTTAGAAAAAATGGTCAACGATTTCGAGTACTTCGTACTCAACTATGGGAGAGCACTGGGCCGTTCCGCTAGAAGTCTGTCGAGGGTATTTCCACTCGACGATCTGTGTTTAGGAAGAAAGGGTAACGATTTAAAGTACTAGGTACTCTACTATGGGACAGCGTAAAGCCGTCCGATCTGTGTTTAGAAAAAAGTGGTTAACGATTTAGAGTACTCGGGTACTCTACTATGGAAGAGCGCCCAAGGTTAATACGCTGCATATTTAGACAGCGACGTCCGGTTAGAAAAAGGGGGTAACGATTTAGAGCACAGGGTACTCTACTATGGGAGCGCTTAAAGCCGTCCCGATCGCACACGAGCAGACACCGAAATGGTTCAATTGGAAAATGTTGACACGTTTGCTTTGCCGGCCTTTCTGTTCTTTTTGGCCCTCTTTGTAGCGCAAGTACAGTGTTTCACAAGACGTCCATTTATTAGTCTATTTACGTGAAATATCAATTATGGATCGCCTCTAATGCTTTGCTATGCAGCCGCCTACATGTTCTTATATATTTATATAGCATGGCGCTTGTGCGAGATCAACTGACATCGCTTTATCTTTGTGTGTTTTAGGGGCGAAGCTCTAGACCGCGGGAGGTTCTCTCCTCCCTATGTATATACATGTAGCGGCACGCGCGCACTTTCTTACAGCCTGGGCTTTGAGTCTAGTTCAGACAGGCTCGCGGGATCCGCTCGCAGGATTTCAAGCTGGACGGTTGTGCCCTCGCGATCTCCGACGCCAGCGTAGCTCCCGCCGACTGGTTCGCCCTCCGCGGTCTCCTGAGGCCGTGCAGCTCTCGCATTGGGGCGCCCCGCCCTTGGACTGCTTCGACCGGATCCCCACTTTTCTATCCCCTTCTTTTTTCCGTCGCTTGCCTGTCTACTTCTCCGTCTATTTTCCTTCTATTCTTTTTATCCCTCCTTCTCCCCACCCCTATAAGGCACTGCGCCGTGTCGCCTGAAGGCAGACAGAAATTAGGTGCCTTTTTCCTCTTTCTTCTAACCACTACCACCACCACCACAGGCTCGCTAGATTCCGTGCCGACCGGTTGTGCCCTCGCGATGTCCGACGTCAGCGTAGCTCTGGCCGACTGGGCTAAGTTACCGAACGGTCATGCCATGTAAAGGCCGAAATACGTCCGCGCGTCGCGTGGATACGTGTGTATACTTCGCCATGCTGCATTTGTGCCTGGATAAAGCAACGTCGCGACTCGCTACAAGTCGGCGAGCTTTCACGGCGGGCGCCGCGCTACCGCAGCAGGTGTTTTTCTTCGCAGTTGTGGAGGCATGTGCCTGTTGCTCCGCGATCATGTGAGTCGCATCTATTTGGGAGAACGAATCGTCTCTTCTTTACGGACGCCCGCCCCACCGCGGTGGTCTAGTGGCTAAGGTACTCGGCTGCTGACCCGCACGTCGCGGGTTAGAACCCCGGCTGCGGCGGCTGCATTTTCGATGGAGGCGGAAATGTTGTAGGCCCCGTGTGCTCATATTTGGGTGCACGTTAAAGAACCCCAGGTGGTCTAAATTTCCGGAGCCCTCAACTATGGCATCTCTCATAATCATATATGGTGGTTTTGGGACGTTAAACCCGACATATCATCATCTTCTTCACGGACGTGGAAGTTTTTGTTTCGAAGCCGCTAGTATACTTCATTCACGTGTCGATCTGCTTTACTGCTTTTTTTTATTTTAAAATATCGGCCTTTACTAGTAAGATTTGGTTTACTTATAATGACGATGGCACAATCAAGCTAGAAGGATCCCGCACCACAAGGCCTGTTACATTGCATAAATACTCTGATTCAAAGAATGAAAACGAAATAAACAAAGGATGAACGAAGGAGATAGCTAGATAGATAGATAGATAGATAGATAGATAGATAGATAGATAGATAGATAGATAGATAGATAGATAGATAGATAGATAGATAGATAGATAGATAGATAGATAGATAGATAGATAGATAGATAGATAGATAGATAGATAGATAGATAGATAGATAGATAGATAGATAGATAGATAGATAGATAGATAGATAGATAGATAGATAGATAGATAGATAGATAGATAGATAGATAGATAGATAGATAGATAGATAGATAGATAGATAGATAGATAGATAGATAGATAGATAGATAGATAGATAGATAGATAGATAGATAGATAGATAGATAGATAGATAGATAGATATGCCTGCGACTTGTGCGTGCAGAAACGGGTACGCACGCATGATTCCACTTCGTCTTTGTTCTTTTTTTGTTTTTTTTTTTGTGCTGTGAAATTAATCGGTATTGTTGTCTTCGCAATGTTGTGAGCCACGATTGACTTACGTGACTCCTGCTGTGCCTTCAGTGATTGGTTCAAACCGTAGAGATGTCATATTGCGAAAACACGGCCGAAAGACAGACATGTGGTGATGGTGGTTACCTCATGGACTCGCTCGCGGGATTCCGTGCCGACCGGTTGTGCCCTCGCGATCTCCGACGACAGTGCAGCTCTGGCCGACTGGATGAGTCTTACGCCATCTGCTGACGCCGACAGGAGCTCTCGCCAGTGGTGCCCCGTCCTCGGACACCTGCAGCCGTGTCCATCTT